TGCAACACAAAGTAAGCAGCTTTTCCAGTATTATGCATATTAACTGTGAAGTCTGTGATGATATTGTTCTTGTTATTTGTCACTAGTTCTATGCTTGATTCGTAAATTCTTTTCCCTGCAGTCCTCTGGTTAGTCACTTTATTTCTTTCCAATGCAGTGCCTTAATTTGTCTTAAAAATGCTCCAAATATTCCATCAAAGAATTTTCATGCTTTGACTAGGTTGGATGAAAATAGAGCAAAATGCCAGGTAAATAGAACCCTTGAACTCTTCTTCCAGATCTGAATTGCCATGATTTCCAGAATCAAAATATAATTTTATTACTGTCTACGTCTTTGCAGCTTGCACTGAAAGCAGGTGTTTTCTATGACGAAGTGTCAAATGTAACAATCTGGGGAAACCACTCAACTACTCAGGTACTGATATTGTCCTTCAGAATGCATAAGTTACATTCCCACAAACTTCTTATAAGCTTTTAAATATATTGAATATGTGATTTTGACCAGGTTCCAGACTTCCTAAATGCTAGAATCAATGGCCTACCAGTCAAAAAGGTTATCAAGGACCATAAATGGTTGCAAGAGGAGTTCACAGAAAAGGTCCAGAAGGTAAGATTCCATCCTTGATAAATTCTTGTAGGCCCCAAGTCAACAAATGTATGCGATAGAGTATACAAGCAAGTTTCTTATTGGAACATTTGAGCCTCAAATTCATTGGGATAAGATGTGAAAATTTGATTTGCAGAGAGGTGGTGTGTTAATTAAAAAATGGGGAAGATCTTCAGCTGCATCCACAGCTGTATCAATAGCCGATGCCATTAAGTCTTTGGTAACACCCACGCCCGAGGGTGATTGGTTTTCTTCTGGAGTAAGTTAGTGGCTATTGTAACACATGTGGCCACATGCACACATCTTCACATTTTAAGCCATTTGTTTTATATAATAGCCAGAAAATTCACTGTCTAAGACCTCCGTAAAAAGTTTTACATGTGAAGTCATACATATTGTATGAGATAGATGTACACATCTATTTGAGGACGAATTTTGGATTAAATTTTTACTATTAAGAAATGTCTACCATCCTCTTGGTGAGATACCATATTTTGTGGTCAGGGAGATAAAAATCATATGATCATGATATAATAAGCATAACTTTTCATTGAAATTGCATAGCTTAAATTGCATCTCCATTCTCACCGTCAACCTGCAAATGTAGGTTTATACCAATGGAAATCCATATGGTATAGCAGAGGATATTGTCTTCAGCATGCCATGCAGATCAAAAGTGAGCTTAAGCACAAATTTTTACCCTCTTCTTTGTAGTGCGGTATGTTAATGCAGCTAAGATTTCCTCTACAATTTCATTTCAATCCTGCAGGGAGATGGTGATTATGAACTTGCCAAGGATGTGATATTTAATGACTATCTTCATAAGCGAATTACAAAGGTATATAATTTTATTTTCTGACTCTCACCAAGTAAAACTATCATATTTTCAGCATGAGGATAGCTTTTCACTTACAATGATACAATTTTGACAGACATGGTTGTGATAGCTTTTATTTTACTAATTTTTTCTTCTTACACAACTAATTGCAGACAGAAGCAGAGCTACTGGCTGAGAAGAGATGTGTTGCCCACCTTATTGGGGAGGTAAGTGTAGTGATCCATTACAGCACACTTCTTCCTTTCTCTGGTACCGGAAGATGGTAACTTAAAAAACATTTCTGTTCCTATCAGGGTATTGGAGTCTGTGATCTGCCGGAGGATACCATGCTTCCTGGAGAAATGTAACTGTAGCCAGATGCAGCCTTTTCATTCGTATCATTCTTCCATTTAATACAATAATCGTTTTGTTTACAAAGAAGATGGAATCACAAGTACACTCCTTTCTGTCGTGTGTGCAAAGTCACAAGTTGTTAATGTTTGCCTTTGTGGATTTCCAGATAAAGAATATCGCCAGCATGTTACTTAAACCTTGAATTATTTGTAGTTGCCAATCAGAAAGTTGTAGTTCTCTTTGTACAACAACAACAATGATAATAGTAATAGACAGTTGGAGTTCCTTCTGTACAATAATGATGCGTTTTATAAAGTAATGTATTGTCTAGCTAAGGTTTGATCATGCATGTTCTCAATTTGTTGGCACTCGGGCTCTGTACTGCTTGTTGCATTGCATGGAAGCAAATTCACAATCTGAATTAAGCCCTACATTGCCCTTATTCGCATATAACATTTGTTGCATACTAGAGATAATCATCTCCAGCTGGGAAAGGAGAAATTAAATGAAAGAAAATAGAAAAGGGTGTAGCTTACATAAAGTCTAGTTCTTGCATAAACTGAAACCTTACAACTACAGCAAGTAAGCAGTTCAAGGATAACAAAGTTAAAAAGCCACAGTATATGATATCAGATGTTGATTTGTGATTCAGCACACATAAAAACCAAATAAATAATGAATCTTAAGCAGCCTGAAACTCTAATTGTCTAATATAAACCTATATATGGTTTGTGTACTAGCAGCCCAGTACCCAACCAATGTATTTTGAATGGTGTTTTTGTAAGACATAATCAACCTTATCCATTGACTTGACTGTATTATTTTGCATTGATGTGAGTCCCGATCTTGAAACTCAGAGGAAGAATCAGGACCCAAAAGAATGTTAGAAACAACCAGAGCCGTGACATCATGGACCCTGTCTTGCCTGAAAGTAGGTTGGCTATTGGCAGAATACCAGAGGGGTTGACAGCATCTTGCAATAGGCCGAAGGAAACAACAATATTGGCATTCCCATTTTTGCCTAATGACCCATTGCCAGATAAAGTCATGTTTGTTATTCTTATCATACCAGTGGTAACATGGAATGAACTGGAAGATTGTGTTGCAGCATTTAGCTGAAGAGCCATGTCTTTTGTAGGGAACTCTGAGGCAAGAGCTGGAGGGGCAGGAAAGCTTCCCAGCATATGACTGGCTTTTTTGATGAACGGATAGTTGACATCTGCATAACAAAACAAAGTTAAAAAGAATGAAATCAGATAAGCAAAGAAATTCAAATATTATTTATTTTGATGATATTAAATGTGGCTAAAGGAGCTTGTGGTAATTACCAACTAAACATATCAACCTACCTTTTTCAAATAATGCCGCCTCTGGCTTTTGCTCTGAAGAGGATGCATGGTCTTTGTCGTGTGCTTCCACTGGCTGTTGGCTTGAGATTGGAACTTCCTCCGTTCCTCCATTCAAATGCTATCACAATGTAACATAAGTTAACTAAAAGCTTTAATCACTCCCTGCAGGAGAGAAGTGGATAGATAAGAGGGAAAGTGAACCATACCTCCACAGCAGGAAATTCTTGGTCAGTAACAGCAATCTCACTCCCCATCATTTGTGCAGGATCAAAAGCCAAATGCTCATCAGCAGCATCACCAAATGTAAGAAAGTCGTCAATATTAAAACCTACAGAATCTGCCTCAACGAAGTTGGAAAGATCATTAGCCTCTAGGTATAGTCCATCATCGCCGAGTTGACGATTATCATCAGCATCCAGGTATGGCTCAGCAGGAAAATATTCAACATCTTCAGCAATAACATTGTTCGTCAATGCAGGTCCATTTTCATCTATTGCCATATTGGAATCGATCTCATTTTGCTGTGGCAAATTAGAGAACATCTGCCTGTAGTGAAGCTCTGTGCCACATTGAGCTTCTTGCATGCATATAACAGGCTTTTGACCATCTTCGCTAAATTCCCTTGAATGCTCAACATGGTTACTTGATTCCCCATAATAGAAGTTCAATTGACTAGGAGATTCCTCAGATGGATTATTGATGTCAGGATTCTGGCAGAAGCGACATTGTTCAGAATTTAGAGCATTTAAGTCAGAATGCATCAGAAAGAAGTAAAACAGACAATTGCTAAAGGAAGAAGATACTTGGCGAAAAAAGAATGAATATCAGGACAACTAAAGGTCAAGACAATAGAAATATCGCATGTATGTTCCTAAAAATGCAAAGCCAACCATGACTGCATGAACCAAAAGTGAACTCTCTACAAGGGCAAATCCTTTCTCACATCCTCATTGGATAGTGTAACATCTTGCAAGTTGGTTTTAAAGTTTTATCTGATATTATTTTGGAACAAGCAACAGCAACTAAAATCCAGTGAGTGACTGTCTACAAACTATTTTCATGTCATCAATCATGTAGTGTTCTTATTTATACAGCCTTACTATTTCTATAAATTCCAAGCAATAAAATAACAGAATCCTATCCACTGCAACCATTCAGCATCAACATTCAAAATTAAATAAGTATCAATAAAAAGAAATGCCAGAAAAACCAAAAACCTGATTCATGTCATTCACTCCAACAAATGCATCATCGCTGAAAGCCACCTCATGTGCCACAGTATCTAGACCTGGCACAAGAGCCACTTGGTCATCCTCCCACTCCTCCTCAATAAATGGTGCCCCATACTGCTCCCCATTCTTTGGCCCTGATCCACTCTTTTGGAATATCCTACACAAAACAAATGCATCCTTTCCAACCCAATCCCATACCCCAAAAGTCCAAAACCCAATTATTTCATGATAAAAAAAATATAAAATCAACAATAAAAAGTAATAATTACATAATGGATCTAACCCAAAAAATCATAATCTCACTTGTTGAACTCCAGCTTTCTCCAAGTCCTCGTCAGCAAGGCGGTACTCATGCATAACCCAATTAGTCCTCTCACCATTAGGAGCTCGACCATTGTGATAAACAAGAGTCTTCTTCATGCCCACAATCCGAGAATTATGGTTAATCGACTTATCCTTCCCTGTAGTCTTCCAGTAGCCCTTCTCTGTGGCTCGGTTGGTCCTTGATCCATTCCCGTACTTCTTGTCCAACACACTGAAAAAGTACCACTCCAAGTCTCTGGTCTTCAGTTTTGACTTACCTAAAAATTAAGAAATATAACATCTATTTTGTTAAAACACACACACACACAAAGAAAAAAAGAAGCTATTTTAATGTTTAGCTCCACACCCAAAAAGAACTAAAATCAATTTGGATATTGCCTGTATTAAAATTTTAAAATTTTACGGCGTAAACTGAAAATCAATTCAAAAATCGATTCTTGTACGTAATTTAAGATAAAGAGAAAAAATAAATCTTCAAAGATACTATTTATTGCCCCTTAAAATCATAAAACAACAGGAACTCCCTACGTCCTTACGTAGCATGAAAGAATCTAAAAAAAACTGAATTAACAACCCTACAGAAGCATCCAATCCAAAAACAAACATTCAAGAACACAGCACTACAGCTCATCTGTCAGAATTAGCACCCGAAGCACAAATCTTTCTGCTATTCCTTTCAGACAACACAATTCAATTTTCAAAGATACATATTTGATTATAATTCCCAACACATGAACTTGAAAAAGATAAGCTTTACCAGGGAGATCCCAAGGCTCGGATTTGTAGACATCGACATCGGAGATGGGGTTGAAACGGAAGGGTCTTTTACAGACCTTGCGCTTCAAATAATACCGAACCAGTTCTTCATCAGTCGGATGGAATCGAAACCCAGGAGCCAAAGAGGTCGCAGAATCACGTCCCATCAAATCTCTCGTTGAAATTGAGAACAAACAAGAGAACCAATCTAGGGTTTTGATACTTAATTGGGGGGAATTCAAGAGAAGAATATGATAAAGGTCTACTCTTTCCTACTCGGCGTCGGAGGAAAGAAAATCGAGGGAAGCCATGGTTGAAGAGCAAGTCGCCGGAGCTTAAGAAATATCGGATTTTGATCTGTACTGAGGTTTAGTTTGGTGACCATTGAACTACCGTGGTAGATAAAAGTATCTGTTAGTGTTACTGCGTTCCGCCATTTTAACTTTTAAGGTGTGAAAGAACGGAAAGCACCCCCTATGGTTAGAGTCATTAACAGATTGGCCCTCATAGTATTTTGGATAGCAAATTGTCCCTCTATATTTTTAAGTTCTAACAAATGGTCTAGATTTAATGTGATACTGACCTAAAATTTTTTATGTTTTATGTGAAATTTTAAATAGGTTGATAGTGTTGATTGACATGCCAAAACATTTTCCTTGCACCTACATGGTAGAAACTTTTTCTTTGTGTTGATATGGTCTTTTTTAAAGAAGAAATTGAATAAATCACATTTATCATCTATCCTTCCATTACTTTTAACTACTATAAATGAAAAAGCATTTTGCATTATTAGTTAAAGAAGTGCCATGTACATTTGGCATGGGTCCAAATGCAAAAAGCACTTTTCTCCTCATTAGTCACCTTTTTTTTTTTTTTCTTTTTTCTTTTTGTTTTAAAATTTTTTAAAATTAAGCAAAAAAATACACTTGGGTCAATCAATTGCACTCCATCACTAGCATTTCTGCTAACATTTATTCACAGGATGCAACTTGAAAGTGTGGTTTTTAGGAAACATTGGACCGATCTAGAATTATGATAAAAGTTAGAGGATGAGGAATTGACCCTATTTTACTTTTGCGTGGAAGATTTAACGGCAAATTACACGGAGGCGAAAGTGCGAGTATCAACGATGTACGTATCGGCATCCAAGAGTGAACACGTGGCACATGTAAGTGGAATATTCTGGAGAGTTGCTTGCTTACTTGGATTGCAGAGATGTAATCGCAGCCATCAAGTGGATATTTTTTGGATTTAATGAAATTGAATTTACTTTCCCACGAAGGAAATGGAGAGAGCCAGAGAACAACGGCAATTAGAAAATAACAATTAACAATCAATAATTTAAATAGTTTTAATAATAAATTTTTTATAATAATAACAAATATTAAATTTAAACCATATGATATATAAGTAAAATGATTCAAAAAATTATTCATTATTATACAACTTAAAATCAAAACATAAAATATCACGTGAACAAATTTTCAAATCCAGAGGCTTCAAAAGTAGAAAAAGAAGAAAAATGAAAAAATTTTATGTATATAAATAATGAACTTATTGTGGAAAATATTTATACTTGGCTACTGGAATTTATGAAATTTAGGAAACATAATACAATTTTCAAGAGGAAATATTGTAGTATTGGGACAACTGAGAGAACTCAAACAGAAGTGTTAATCAATGATTTCCTCATCTCATCGATTTGGCTGTGCTTCCAGCAGTTTGAACACACTCTTAATGACTGAGAGCTCAGTTGCTGTAGTGTCTGAGCCGCAGAATGCAGTCCAGTCATTCATAGTCATTCCAGCAGCTGACTTCACTGCAACGGTTGACAGTGCCAGCAACCAAGGTCTCATCCAAGTCTTCAATGGATGTGTGAGGGTGAACCTGCTCCAATTTTTAGGTCTTGGATAAATCAGAATTACAGGGTATATCGTGAACTTACCAAGCCAAATCACATGTTCTATGAAAGAGATGCTATCTTATCAAGCCACCTCTGTTTGAGAAGGTACAGTAGCTGCTCACAAGGGTGTTACCGGCAATTGTCTGCCTGAACACTTCTACACCAAGGACATCAGAAATTATTTCCTCGGTTTCCCGATCAAATTTGCAGATGAAATAGCATAATGAGAAGTCAATTGAATCAAACAGAGGCCTTGTGGTAAGTTCGTGCTTGAAGACTAAAACACAGCCCACCAAAACATGATGTACCTTAACATATGATGATATATGATTGAACTTTTTCGGGTACTTAGAGACGATTAATGAAAAGACATCATCGCAAATGGAGAACTTTACCCTGTCTAGATCAGTGTGAGTAAGAGCAACATGGTCATTGCATGCTATGCAGTTTCCAAGAGTAGATAGCATCTCCTCCATGCGCTGAACAACAACTTGGTCTGGTAGACTATTCCGCAAGTGGTGAAGTTCTTCAATAAGTACCAAGAAACAACAATACAAAATGCCTCATTAAATGCCAGAACTACAAGGTACAAAAACCAAGCATAGTGTCCACAAATGGTAACCAAATCTACTACTACATGAACCAGAAACAATCACCAAGCAATTGCCTTCAAAATAACTCTAATAAGTAGAGGCATAAAGACTGTTTCTATAATCATTGAGTGCCAAGTATCTTGCCATACTAGAAGTGTGGCAAGATCATAATTGCCACTCAGGCTTAGCAGATTGATGATAGATCCAGCTTAACACCATGAGCAACTTCAAGATAACACATTAGATCACCTTGGTCTGTTGTGGTGTGGAGCACAAGTAGGGCATTTTTATTTCCTGCCAAAACAAAAGAATTAGTAAAATCAAGAAAAGTAGGCAGCATATCTAAAATGTAAACACTAGGTAAGACTGAATAAGTATTAAGAACATTAACCAGCACATAATCATCCTATTTTCCTAGTGCCTGCAATTGAGGTCTTAACCACTGGAATGGCATCTGCCAACTCTGCATCAAAACACTGTAACAAACGTATATAACCTTAATACCTTGACCAAAACAGGGACAAGAATTGCAGAGGACACTGATTGCACCACATGTATTATTCAAACAAAAAAAAATGAAACAAAGGAAGAAAAAGAGGCATTCACACCTGTGGAAGTTTTCTGACCCACCAATCGCAACCAAGCAATAAGCATTTGTCAGCTTGGAAAAGACTCCAACTTCACATGAATTTTCAAACATAAGCCCTGTATAAAGTTTATCATAAGTACATTTTTATGAATGCATTTGTTCCAAAAGAACCTTACAAGGCAACAAAATAATGAAGTATAGTACACTGTTCAATGAAATTAGCAATGGTTATAGTCCAAGGGAAACTTTTAACAGATCCAGTGTTAAGAAATACATGGGTATAATTGTATAAATGTTTTGAGAGCAACAGTAGCAAGAAAACAATATGGACTATAAGTTTACTTACAAGTTGCCACGATAACGATGGAACAACCGAGCAAATGGACAAAGGAGGAAAAAGTTCTGTAGCAACAAAAGAATAGACCAAATTGGAAAAGGATCTGCATAGTGCATAGGGAAATAGATTAACAAAAGAGATAGAGAAAAAAGGAACTATATAATCCTGGACAAATAAAAGTCCTACACATCTAACATGTTATAAAAAATTGTTTTGTCACAAAAGATTCACTCAACTACGCAAAAACCCAAAATGTTCAATGAAAAGAAACGACAGAAAATCATTGAAAACTGCTTCTATTGAAACCCCAAAAGAGATACCTTCAAGAAAAACAACCCAATTATCTTCCAACAGTTTTCAAAAGATTCAACATAAATGAAATTTGATTTGCCAAAAAGAAGATTAAAAAATGACCATTACAAAAAACTGATTTCAAAACCCAAAAAAAAAGAAAAAAAAAGAAAAAAAAAACGAACTTGGTTTATAAATTTCCCAATTATACTTGTCTACAAGGTTATATACTCTATCTGCATCTTTTCAAAGTTAATAACATCAAAACCTCAACAAAGACTTACTTTTCAGTACCGAGTAAATTAATTCAACTGGTCCTTTGTAGCTTGTGGGGTGTAAAAACTGCCGACATTAAAATAAATGGCAATCACTTGAAAGCATTACATTCCATCAATCAGGCAAGTGATTTTAAGCATGTGCCACATAAAACTCCATTTCTTTCTCAATGCTCATAAAACATGCACAATCAAAACAAATTTTGCCTTTGCATATCTTATGACCATGTTACTTTTTCCCGGGAACTAAAAAGAACCCACAAAGAAACTTCCTCCAAAGTTGTCTCAAAGTCATTTGTACCCTAATGAAGAAACAAACCAATATGGGAAGAGCAATCCAAAGTCTTAAAAAGCAAAAACATGTGGAGCACTACAGAAGTAATTACCAAATACCCACAAAATTATTCTACCCAAAATAACCAAAAATAGAAAGCATGCTTACTAGCTTCACCTTCAGAATGAAGGGCGAGTGTCTGTCGCCTGTGGAGAGACAAAAAAAAAATAGGGGCATCTGTGGGTTGATCTCCTCCAAAGTCCAAACAACGTGATTTTCTATAATATAAAGGGAGAATATATGAGCCGTTTGTTCTCAGCATCATATCGCCCTTGCGAATAAAACGACGCGTTTAATTCCTAGTAAATTTAACAAATTTTTTTTTTTGACCCCAACGTAATGGTTAGAAAGTAAGTATAAGTTAGTTGTTAGTAACTGATGTCCCAGATTAGGTGAACATTTCACCCCAACATAAATTGCATATTACTTTTTTTTTTCTTTTTTTTTTCTTTTTAATTTAGAAAATATCAAAACAAAGCAGCGAGATATGAAGATAATCCGAAAAATGGATTGCAAACTTGCACACCAACCTTTATGAACAACCCCTTCTATAAGTAAAAATGAGGGAAAATATTTAAAAAAATAAAATTAACCAGTTTGATATTCCTACAACATAGGCAGTAACAAACTTAACCTTAATCCTACAGCTACAAACATTGTTTTATAAAAAAGATACATTGTCCTAATGCTACATGCCGCCGATGGCTCTTGAAAAGATGACATATTAAAACGCAGACAACAACATGGCTATCAACGTTATACTTGCTCCGGGTTTTGGTTTCGGTTTTGTATTTCCCTCTTCAAGTCTTCATTTTCCTTGCTAAGGAAATCAATTCTTGACTGAAGAATGTTGATCATGGCTTGAGCACTCAGCATTTCGAGTTTCATTGTCTCCCTCTCAACAGAGATCTTGTGGATCTCGTTCTGCAGCTCATTGATGAGGTTCATGCAGCTGGGAGGCACTGGTGACTCAAGGTTAGCAGCATCATAGGTGGGTGGAGGGAAATGAGGATTCTCCTTCGGTTCAATGGATTCCATGAGGGAGAATTCCAGCAATGCAGAGATTGCGGCTGTTGTTGCTGATGATGCCTCTGTTGCTGCCACAGCCGCTGCTGTGGTTGTTGTTGATGACTGGTCCTGAGTTGTCCTAGTTGATTGCTCGGAGCCACTTGCATGGTTGGAACCTGAATCATTATGCCGCCTTCTTTTATATTGGAGCAAAGGTAATGGTGCTTCCTTATTCAGCACACATACTGGAGGACAATCATCTGACCTTTCAATCTTGCACACAAGTAACTTGTCTCGTGACTCCCCCGGGCATTCATTAGTGGTTAGGGGATTATTTTCAGTGGAGTTAATGTCCTGTAACGACCGTGTCTTTTCCACAACTTGAATTTCCTGCAAACATTCAAGTAAACCTTAGATTAAAGGCTTCAAATACAAGCCATACAATGCTTGGCTAAAATGTCAGAATATAAACAATATAACAAGAAATGTCATAGCATGTATAATAAAGAAAGGACACAAATATCTTATTCTTACCAAGACCAGTTTCATGTCAACAGTCAATACACCTACTAGCACTTCATCTCCTTCTCAAGACACAACAGAGAAGAAGATGAAAAGAAAAGTCAGTACATATAGGAACTCAGTAGATATCCAGTGCAACTTTGCAAGTATCCTCATTCTCTACAAACTCTGCCTTCTTTCTCATGTAAAGATATAAATTAAATCAATGAGCTCTCTTGAGATGCAAGACGAGGATTCCATTTATTATCCCTTCAGGTTGGAGGGTCAGCTGTAATGATACCCTAATGCCTTTTACCAATGATATCATCAGGCCTCTATTCAACAAAAGATATAAGAAGCCGTGTCTATAGAACAAGAAAGTTGTCTGAGATGGGAATAAGAAGAGAAAGCAACTACAAGCTTCAACACCATTGCAAAAAGCCTTTAAAAAGGTGCACCATAGAATTCCAATAAAGAACCCAGTCTCAATGGATGCAATGCATTCCATCACCAAAACAATTAAATATCATGAAAGGTTTCCCATCTTTTAGCACCAACTATTCATGCGATCAATGCCAAATTGTACTCACACACCTCCTGTCACAACTCACAAAGAAGCCAGGCAGCTCTGAAATCTCCGGAATGACAACAAGAGAACTATCAATTCTAACATGGTTCAGCATCTATGTCCTACCTCAAAAGCATATTCCAAATGACAGTAGTTAGAAGTTCATTCCTCATAAGGCTGGAACTATTAACTCTTATTCCTTTCATTTTACAAACCGGGAGCTTTGCCCCCTCTCTTACAATGTTTTTCTTTATTTTAGAGTGAATATATCCTTCTAGATTATTGAATCCAAAGCTAAGGCTTCTATCAGCTCATATCATTTATCACAAGCAACAAAGAAAATAAGAAGTAGTGAATTTACAGAAATGCTCCACTATTTATAAAGGGTTTTGGGTTTTCAAGAAAAACAACTCTCAGTGATGTTGTGCAGATTGTATTTACTCACTCTCTCCTTTCAGTCAGCATAAAAAGGCAAATAATGCAGCTAATGCAAGACCGTGAAAATTATATTTGCACAATAGTCAAAAAGAAGAGAGCATGTTAACAAAGTTTGATATCATAAAAGCTATGTTGTCAGAACTTGAGAAAATAAAGCACAGACCTGCTCAACATCATTCCTTTCAATACCATTGCTTTCGGTTACATTGGTAGCAGCTAATCCATCATTGCCAGCTCTTGTGTCATCACCACCATCTATTCCAGGGATCAAAGCTGCTGAAGCATCATCCCATTCCTCTTCCATAAAAGGTGCATAACGGTTTCCATTTGGCGGTCCTATATTATTCTTATGAAACACCCTACATAACACATAGCCCTTCTCCACCAAAACAGAAACCAAATAAGGGTAAAAGCAATTCTATAGGATTTTAATCCCAAAGTTAAACAATAACCAGCAACTTGAGAAAAGCTGTACTAAGACTTCTGAACATAAGCATTCATTGTACTAAAGAGCACTAAAAACAAAGTCCATTTAACTCAAATTTATTTTTTTTGGCCAATGACTCAATTTCAGTTCACTTGCGTGTTTATAGCACAAGATTATAACCAACAAAAGCCAGACACCTTCTGATGAACCAAAACAGCATTATTCATGCAAACTGTCCAAACATCTAGTTTCCCATCCAACATCTTTGTAGTTTGTAAACAAAGAAACGTCCCCAATTTGGTGAGTTTTTTATTACTATCAAAGTATCAAAAAGTGCAGCATCACTCATTACCCAAGTCATAACATACTTGGTAGTTCATGGTTCTATTTTATATGCTGTTGGCATAAAAAAAATGAAATCATAATACAGCAAAATTTTCATTACATAACAACATGAACCATGACACTCAAACTTGCAAGGTGCAACCTAAGAAATATCATTAATAACATGAGGAACAGTTAATGAGGCCAAACCTGCAAACCCACAATTTTATCCAATTCTTCATCAATGAGCCGGTACTCGTGCATGACCCAATTGGTCCTCTGCCCATCTGGCGCTCTACCACTATGGAATACAAGCGTTTTTTTCATCCCAAGTAGCTGTGAATCCCGACGGACCTCCCGGTCCTTCCCAGTGGCTTTCCAGTATCCTTGGCCTGTGGCCCTATTCATTCTTGCTCCATTCACATACTTCTTATCCAACATACTAAAGAAATACCACTCTTGGTCTCTGGTTCTCAATCTTGAAAACTCTAAAACCACATAAGAATAACAAGCTGAGTACAACTTAAAATATAATGTAGGAAAAAAACCTGAACAAAAACCCACAAGGATAGAACATGTAAGAATACCATCAAGAAACTCCCTTGCATCCCAAAATCAAAAACACAATTGTATATCCACTGTATAAATATTAAAAAGAAATGCAAGTTGAAAAACTGGATATGGCCCAACAGAATAGAGGAAGAAACGGAGAAGAAAACCCACCTGAAAAACTTCAAACGTAAACATAAAACATAACAGGGAGAACGCCCAAAGGTGAAAACTTTTGCATAATAGATTATCGAAATTACAGAGGATGCCCCTCCCAGAAGATATTTAGGAAATATAAATTACTCCAGCCAAAAATAAACCAAACGAAATTAAACCAAAAACCCACAATAGAAGCGAAATTTTTAACACAACCCACTCAAGATGACCCCTAAAAATTCTGAAAAGCTAAAGAAATTATGCACATAGTAGAACAAAAAACAAGCAGGAGAGCAAACAAAAATGGGAAATGAGCAGATAGATAAAAGGAAGAAATAGAAGACTACCCGCGAGGTTCCAAGGCTCGTGCTTGTAGATATCGACCTCACCAATGGCATTAAACCTCACGGGTTTAGCCAAAATCTTCCTCTTGAGGTAGTAGCTGACGAGCTCTTCATCAGTCGGGTGGAATCGAAATCCTGGTGCAAGTGCTGTCGCCGCCGTGGTCCCTGTCTTCCCGTTGGCCGTGGTGACAATCGCCGAATCGCTCTCGCGACCCATCACAGAATCCTCAGCAGAGACTCGATTCGGGGCCTGGGTTTGTGTGGAAAGGGAAGAGAAATGAAAAGGCGAAGTGGGGTTTGATTGATGGGGAAGAAACAGCTAGTGGGTACCTTCGATTGCAAGAAATTTGGGTTGAAGTTAAAATATTATTCGGCTAAAAAGCCAGAGGACAAATTGGTGACCATTTTTCTGTGTTTAAATCCTGTCTGGTAATAAAAAATTTTGGCAAAAAATCTATGCCTTTTCTGACAAGATTTTTTTTTTTTCTTAAGCAATGGAGGACAGGGATAAGCACTTTGCTAATTACAATGATAAATAAAATTTTAAAATAATAAATAAAATAAAATAAAACCAAAGAGAGGATAAGGCAAATATGGCAGGAGAGTAAAATATAGATATTGTACATGAACTTGTCAGATTTACTATCCTTAAATTTACATTATTTTTAAAATAATTGTATTAAAAAGATATAAAAAAAATTGCACTAAAAAATAATGAGTTAAAATACTATTAATTAACTTCTACCTTTTCATTCAAATTTCATTGCTATTTAATGGCATTTGAAAAAAATAATATGTTGTGTGTGTGAGAATGAATAAGATTGAAAGGAACAATAAATTGTTAATAAATTGCTATTGATGATGTTGTATTCCATATTAGTTTTAAACTACGATATATCTAACGAATTTTTTTTCAATGACAGAAATAATCTTGATAGTAATTTCATTTTTTTTTTAAGTTTGAGTATTTCTTATATGATAACAAATTTAAATTCTAGTTTAAATTGTAATTTATAGAGCATATGAGTGAAGTTGTATAAATAAAGAAACAAAAAAATTATTTTTTATTATACAATTTATTTTTATATTTACGAAATTATTCAACTATATGCCCGTTTTTAAAGAGATTTAAATTTGTGATCAATTTAATTTCCAAAATTGTAGATCAGGTAAAAGCTAATTCTATATAATAAATTGATAATTTATTATTTCCATGGATGAAATTTACCGAAGAAAAAGGAATACTTTTGAAAGTGCTAAAATTTTTTATATTAAATTTTTTATACATTAAATAATAAATTATACAATATAAAATAATTTTTTAAATTCTTTTTTATTTATATCAAAATTTCAACTTGAAATATTAATATAAAAATTTAAGTTACTAACCTCTGTATCTTCCTCCCTTTTTTTTAACCCTTTTTTTTTAATATATTGAAGAGAAGTAGAGGCTCAACTTAAAAAATTGAGTCAATTAATATATAGAGTGTGGAGTCAATGACCTATATCTTTTTGTTGGAAGTATGAAATGTTAACTTTGAATCACCTAATATGTAAATAAAATGTGATAAAAAATAAAAAAAATTACCTCCCATGCAAGTGTGCAACCAACATGAAAGAATATATATATATATGGAGTGTGGACAATGAACATGAGCTTAAACCCAATCCGAAGGGAACATGACATATGGGCCGGGCCACCAGAAGAACAGTGAACCAACGGCTTCCTCTATATATTATTTATCAAGAAAAAGAAAAAGAAATGTAAAAAAATTTGACTGAGACATCTGCGGTGGCGTACTAAATCCATCGCAAGGAGATGACGTAGCGAGCCCAGGTGCGGCGCCGTTGTTGCATGTCCCCCACATGGTCATCTGCGGCATCAGACAGTAGACCGATTTTACAAGAAGTTTGACTTTGAAGTTTGAAGCAGGAAGGGAACAGACAAACTCCTAAATCTGGCCTTATCCTGTGGAAGTAAATAAAATCAATTATGGTCTAATAGTGAAAAGGGAAAATAAGTTGACTGCATCTGCATGCCAAGAAAAGGCAAAAAAAGAGGAAAAAAAAAATAATTATTGTATGTCTGTAAATTCACAATTGTTTGGATAGGTATTATCAGGTGAGGAAGTGATGAGAGACAAGACAAAATAATAAACGCCAGCCAATTGTTGTGTCCCACCAGGCGTCAAGCCTCAGCAACGGTGCGTGTAACCATCTCAGCCAGAAGTAGAAGAAAAAGAGCAAAGAAGCATGCAAATTGCCAAGGAAATCTGGTCCTTGGGGAAACCAAATAAATCTTTGTCTTATTTTGTTGATTTTTATGGTACTTGAGAAATGTTGGGTTCTTCTTCAAACGGAGGGAGGACTAGTAGTAGTAGCAGCAGCGGCGGCGGCTTGGACTACTCCTTCAAGATATTGTTGATTGGTGATTCTGGAGTTGGAAAGAGCACCATGCTTCTCAGTTTCGTCTCCAACACTCTTCATGATCTCTCTCCCACCGTTGGTATTGTCTTACTTGCCTCTGTTAGCCATTAAATCAAACATCTTGAGTGGTATGCAGTCTCAAAAGGCAATCAGATGTTGGGATGTGATTTTCAATTTCTTTGATTATGTTTTGAATGCCCTTTTTACCATATCCTATTATTCATTTCAGGTGTTGATTTCAAAATTAAGCAATTCACAATTGGTGGGAAGAGATTGAAGTTTACAATATGGGACACAGGTGATTGCCAACTCTTTGCAGTTTGAACCTTTGTTTTTCCAACTAAAGTTGATGAATTTTTTTGGGGTCCTGTATAAGTTGGGATTTGGGAAGGTTGATTAGCATGTTATGTGGTGGGATACCATTGTAAGAGCTCTACATATTGATTGTTAGAATTCCATTCAAAAGAGAGGAACTTTGGGTGTAAAAACTGAAAATCTTAGTGGAGAACTCTACCCTGCATACTGGATAATTAGATCTGGTTCAATTTTCTTGAAACATCTTTTATCATGTTGCAGCTGGTCAGGAAAGGTTTGGAACATTAACAACTTCTTATTACAGAGGTGCACATGGAATTATCCTTGGTATGTTCTTGCAAATTTGAAACTCTTAGTCCCGCATGCTTCTCTACTCCTGTGACTTCCTATGAGATTGAAACATCAGTTAAGAAGTAATCTGTTTAATTAGTACATCTACATGTGATTTTGAAGAAATTACCTTAACATTATCTCATGATGGCATCCATATATCTCTTTCTGACAGGAAGCTTCCTCTTCCTAATATATTTACTTATCATCTCTTATTCAATAATCCTTCTGGTTGAAGATTGGATCAAGTTAGTTCATTTTGTTTTTTCTTGTCTAAGTGAAAATGTTATTGCTATAGATACAACTAAACTCTGGTGACTTGTAGTCTTACTGGTTTGTGATATAATTTCCATTATAGTTTATGATGTAACAAGACGAGAAACCTTTACAAACCTGTCAGATGTTTGGGCAAAGGAGGTAGAGCTTTACTCCACCAATCTTGAGTGCATCAAATTTCTAGTTGGAAATAAAGTTGACAGGGTAAGTTCTATAATGCTAGCATTCTCTCCTTTGTAGTCATGCAGACACATGAATTTCATGCTCATTACAGATATTTCAGTTTCAGCCAGTGTTACTTAATAAATCAAAATACGTCCTTTTTAATTTATTCATCACCTGCAATTTGAGGTACCTTGTCTTTGTGGCATGTATCATTTTCAGGAAAGTGAAAGGGTTGTTTCTAGAGAAGAGGGGATGGCTCTTGCACAGAAACTTAAATGTTATTTCTTTGAATGTAGTGCTAAAACTAGAGAAAATGTGCAGCAATGCTTCAAAGATCTCACATTAAAGGTAACTTGTCCAAATGCATCCATCTTTTTGACTCTTTCAATCTCCTATCTGGTCTTTAACGCCCTTAAAACTGGAATTGTCCCCTCAAAATGGAAGTAACACATGCCCAATCTTTTCTAGGCATTCCATTTCAGCTGTTTCTGACAACAAACCTATCTAACTGGTTTTTATTAGTTTATAGATCCTTGAGGTTCCTAGTTTATTGGAGAAAGGATCTATTGCAGTGAAGAAACAGAAGTTGAAGCAGAAACAAGTACACCAGACACCAGGCGACAATGGTTGCTGTCTTAGTTAAAGTGCTGCAAAGACTGACGTTAAAAGACACAGCATACTCATATATCCAAAACAGAACCTCCCAACTGTTGTTCTTGCTGCAACCAGACTACGGAGGAGGCAACTTTTCTGATTATATGTGGGGAGGAGAAGGGATTGCATTCTGTCTCAGTTCATCCAAAGCTTTCATTTTAAAATCTTTTTCCTTTTATGTTGATTTACTTCTTTTGTACACAACACACTCGGCAGTAGGTCAGTCCATTATAGACTTGTGTAACATAATTCTTGTTTATACTCTCATAGAATAAAATGCCTAATCCAATTAAAGGGTTACAACTTACAGGGGAATTTTATGAAGTGAGGACAAATTTTTTTTTCTTAATTTTAATTTGTTGTTATAACATTGATTTAGTTAAATGTAAATCATCCATCCTAAAGGACCTAAACTTGGGGATGTAGACTTCTTAGAAAATCGAACCTTGGTCACCAGTTGAATTATTTAATTGATTGCTCTGAATTCTGGAACAGATTCTTGGCCATAAAAGAGGAAATATGCATTAAAGTGTGAGAAAAATGAAAATTTAAAGCCAAAATCCAAGTGACTAACTCTATGACTATTTATTACATATCTTGGTTAATTGCATAATATGACATCCTCACAGCTATCACATTAATTACTTTTGCCTCTTGCATTTGGGTCGTCGGATCTAGTGGCGTCAAATCACATTTAAGTGTATTTCCCTCCCCTAGCAACGGTTCGAATTCCATCCTTGCAAAATTGTTCAAAAAAAAAAAAAAATATTTTTCTCTCTTTAAAAAGCAGTTTGTAGTAATATAAACCCTCTTGAAACCAGTTTGAAATATTGAGCCGTCCAAAACAGAAATATGTTGCCGGCTTAGTCTACCAAACACGGTATCATATTCCTTGCTTTGTAAGAATAATTTTTCTCTTGCCATTTGTATGAATGTTGATACCAGTTTTTCATTATTTTCCGTCTTCCGGTTTGTATTTTATTCATAATTTTCTTAGGAAGCTTCACCTATAATAGGAAAGAAGATCAGCTTTGCTTCACAAATATATTCAAGGTTCTGCGGCCTATTTCATTATCTGGTTCTGGTCTGGGACAATGGCCTTTCTTAGGTGCCTCCATTGGCTAATTGCCTGCGTGACATTGCTTGCTGCCTTTGTCCAGAGAACTAGAGGCACTGATATCTACCTGGAGTGGAATGTCGCCTATAACAATAGCATCAGACGTCTCTTGCTGATCAACCTGTATGTTCCACTAACATTTTCTGATGGTTTCTTTTCATGAATTTCTATTAATGTTTTTCCATGTCTGTTCTGTATACAGGTTATTGCCATCAATGGCGAGTTTCCAGGACCATTGATTAATGCTACAACCAATGATTTAATCCATATCAACGTATTTAACTGTTTGGATGAACCACTGCTCTTTACATGGTAAAGTTCTTATTTCATCATAAACTTTTCGACCAAAGTTGATTCTCTTCCCAATTTAAAAAAGTGATGGTGCTGGTTGTGGTGCAGGAATGGTATACAATAAAGTCTGAATTCATGGCAGGATGGAGTTGCTGGCACAAACTGCCCAATTCATCCCAACACAAACTGGACTTACGTGTTCCAAACCAAGGATCAGATTGGAACTTTCTTCTACTTTCCCTCAATCAATTTCCAAAAGGCTGCTGGCGGATATGGACCAATCCGGGTTAACAATCGTAATGTTATTGCTGTTTCCTTCCCCAAACCAGAAGATGAATTTGATTTTCTGATTGGTGACTGGTTTTCTGGTGACTACAAGGTGTAACTTCAGTAACCCCTTCATAAAAACTCACCACTTTCAGTCCAAAATGACTTCTTTCTTTAACTTTCTAACTCTATTGTTTGGTTTTTGGGTATTTGATTTCATCAGGAAATAAGCTCAAAGATGGATGATATCAGTTCTAGTGCTATTCTGATGAATGGCAAAGGTCCTTACGGAGACCCCAGGTCAACAGACCATGAATCCTTCACTGTCACAAAAGGTATATTATGGGGTAACTGAAGAAGTTTTCAGTTTTCACAATCTCCATGTTGCCATGGGTTCTGACAGTTTATGTTGTTTCAGGAAAGACTTGCAGGTTCAGGATATCGAATGAGGGAAGTTCATATAACTTCATTTTCAGGATTCAGAATCACAAAATGGTTGTGGTTGAAACAGAAGGTTCCTACACCAACCAGACCACCCTGGGTTCTCTGCATGTTCATGTTGGACAGTCCTACTCTGTCCTTGTCACAGCTGACCAAATTGAGGCAGACAATTACATTGTAGTAACTCCTAAGTTACTCAACAGCACTGGTTTTAATAACAGTATCATTGGCCTCGGGGTGCTGCACAACTCTAAATCTGATTCTCAAGTTACTGGACCTCTCCCTGATGGACCTGATCCCTTTGATATTGATTTCTCTGTGAATCAAGTAAAATCTATAATGAAATTGAAAGTCTGCAAATTTTCTAATGTATACACAACACTTCTTATATATTCATGTTCTTCATGAACAGGTGGAATTTGACTACAGGAGCTGCCAGGCCTGATCCACAAGGAACCTTCACTGTATCAAATGTGACTATCTCTCAGACCTTCGTCCTCCAGGGCTTAAAGGCTGAAATCAATGGAACCACACACTATACTGTTAACAACATTTCATATGACCCTATAAATACACCGTTGAAGCTTGCTGGTTACTTTGTGAATGGCTCGTGTGTGTACCAGTTGGACTGGTTTCCAGTTGATTCCGTGCATGCTGAAGCTGCATATGGCGTTTCTGTTGTTACTGGGATTCATAAAGGGTGGATTGGACTGGTGTTCAGAAACAACTTGGATGTCATGGATTCTTGGAATTTGGATGGTTTCGGATTCTATGTGGTAGGGTAAGTACCATTGCCATAGAAAAAGCAAGATACAGCTACTTCTGTGGAAAATGTTTTTCAATAAAAAAATGAAATTAGTTGACTAATGAGACCGGGGCCCTGTAGGTTCTAAGTTCAAATCCTGGAATGCTACATATCATTAGGCCTTGAGCATTCATATCTTAGCTGCTTTAGAAACTGACACATTTTGATGAATATTGTCAGGTTTGGCAATGGAGACTGGACACCGGAATCACGCAGCACATACAATCTTTATGATCCTGTAGTCCGGTCCACCCACCCAGGTGTATCCAGGGGGGTGGACTGCAGTTTATGTATTCCTTGACAATCCTGAAATGTGGAACTTGAGGTCACAGACCTTGAAAAACTGGTACTTAGGTCAAGAACTCTATATCAGGGTTCATGATCCTGACCCTAACCCTGCCAAGGGGCGCCCACCACCTGAGAATCTTCTTCTCTGTGGTTAGTACATGATTCAGAACCTCATTTATATCTAATCCTCATTTTTCTGTTTGTGTTTTTGGCTCCTGAGATGAATTTTGGTAACCCAATTGCAGGAATATTTGAAGAGTATCATCACCCAACCGCTGCACCAGCATCTGCACCCGAATCAGGATTGTAAACTTGATCAAATTCTTCATATTTGATGTTAATTTTTTTTTTTTTCTT